GCCTGTGGTCCCAGCTACTTGGGAGGTGGAGGCAGGAGACTCGCTTGAGCCCAGGAGTTGGAGGTTGCTGTGAGCTATGATGCCACAGCACTACCCAGGGGGACAGCTTGAGGCTCTGTCTCAAAAAAAAGAGAAAAATCAGACTGTGGATGACCTTGAGCAGCAGGATATAAATGACTCCACAAGCACTGCCACTCCAATAATGGAGCATCAGGCATACACCCACTAACACCACACAAAACACACTAATGCTCAATAAAAAAATGGTGAGCAGATTTCTAATAAGTAAGTAAAACTCCCTAAAACAGTTACGCCTACCTAGTTTTCATGTGTTTTTAAACATTTAGGATAATATAACGGACTCACCTTTGCAGCAAATATAATAGCTATATGATGAACTTCAAATGGAAAACAATTTTTTTTTTTGAGACAGTCTCACTCTGTCACCCTGGTTAGAGTGCTGTGGTGTCACAGCTCACAGCAACCTCTAAGTCTTGGGCTCAAGAGATCCTCTTGCCTCAGTTTTTCTATTTTTAGTATAGATGGGGTCAAAATCCTGAGCTGGTCTCAAAATCCCGAGCTCAGGCAATCCTCCCACCTTGGCCTCCCAGAGTGCTGTGATTACTGTACCCATCAGGAAAATAATTTTAACATGACTTAAGAAAGAAAATAATTCTTACTTCATCTGTTAGTGAGTATGTACTAATATGAATATCATTTCAGGAAATAAAATTCACAATAGATCAATTGGCTACTTTCACAAATATTTTACAAACACATCATTCAATTTTGAAACATGGTCTCTCTCTCCGGCAAAAGGAAATCACTATTTGTTAGCCGTTAAGACCAAATAATTTTCAGCTATTGCTTGCTCCAGGGCAATTTAGCTACAATCAATTTCACATTCTTCTAGAAGTTTCCAAACAATTTTCATCAAAAACCACTGTTACCAAATGGAATCCTAAAATTTTTTCAATTATTACTTCTTTCACTAGTCACTACAAACATTTCACATGCCCCAACCTGTCAAAAAGATTTCTGAAATAATTCGGCTCCAGTTCTTTCCAAATTCACTATTATTCCTACTATTCATATCCTAGAACAATATCTCTTATCTCTAGCAAATTCACAAAGTTTTATATCCTTCCCACACTTTCTATATAAAAGAGCTTTCATAGGTCACTATTTTATATAGTTAAACTTTGATGTAAGACCAAAGTTAATTTGTGTTTTTTTTTTTTTTTTTGAGACAAGTCTCACTCTGTTGCGAGTTAAAGTGCCATGACCTCAGTCTAGCTCAAATCAACCTCAAACTCTTGAGTTCAAGTGATTCTCCTGCCTCAGCCTCCTGAAATTAATTGATGTTTTTACTTTTTTTTTTTTTTATTTTAGAGACAGAGCCTTACTTTGTCCACCTCGGTAGAGTGCTGTAAAGTCACAGTTCACAGCAACCTCCAGCTCTTGGGCTTAGGCGATTCTCTTGCCTCAGCCTCCCGAGTAGCCGGGACTACAGGCGCCTGCTACAACGCCCGACTATTTTTTTGTTGTTGTTGCAGTTTGGCCCGGCCGGGTTTGAACCCACCACCCTTGGTATATGGGGCCGGTGCCCTACTCACTGAGCCACAGGAGCTGCCCCAATTAATTGTTTTTTAATGCTGGTAAATTACGTACCTTCCATACCTTATTTTATTATTTACAATTCAAAGGTCCTGGATATGCTTTGAACACATTCCATCAGACTCCAATGCAAGTTAGTTATTTCAGAGGTAAATGTTAGTGTGCACAAACCTTCAGGAAAGTAAAACAAGGATCGAAGAGAAGAAAGATTCTCAGCCTTAAAAAAAAAAAATCACTTAGTGTTGAAGACAACTTTTCTTTTCAAAAAACACTTACCAATTCAGTGACAAGAGGACGGACACTTCCTATGTAAGAAGCTAGCTGCCGCTGTTTTAAGGTATGCAGAGTATTTTCCCTGAAAGGAAAAATAAATACCAAGTTTTTTAAAAGTCGCAATTTTAATAGGCCTATTAAAAAAATCAAGTCAAATTAAGAAAGAGAGACTGTAAATCCAGAAAAAACATGTAAAAATCCTTAATAGTTCATTTTAGTTCAGATGAGTAATGATAAATACTTTTTCATGTCCTTTTCTGAGGTATCTGTTCAAATCTTTGTCTCCTCCCCTTTTCTGAGACAGTCTCACTCTGTTGCCTTGGGGTTGAGAGCCGTGGCATCATCACAGCTCACAATAACATCAAACTCCTGGACTCAAGTGATCCTTCTGCCTCAGCCTCCCAAGTAGCTGGGACTACAGGCACCCACCACGATGCCCAGCTCATTTTTCTATTTTTAGTAGAGATTAGGGTCTCACCTTGCTCAGGCTGGTCTTGAACTCTTGAGCTCAAAGGACCCTCCCACCTCAGCCTTCCAGAGTGCTACGATTACAGGCTAAGCCACTACACCCAGCTAAATCTTTGCCCTTTTTACTGGGCTATCTTTTTATTACTAAGTTCTAGTTTTTTGTTTTTTTTTTTTTTTGACAAGATTCTCCAGCCATCCCCCTGGGTAGAGTGCTGTGGCATCACAGCTCACAGCAACCTCCAACTCCTGGGCTCAAGCGAGTCTCCTGCCTCAGCCTCAACGCCCGCCATAACACCTGGCCATTTTTTTTTGTTTGTTTGCAGCTGTCATTGTTGTCTGGCGGCCTGGGCCAGACTCGAACCCGCCACCCTGGGTGTACAGGGCTGGCGCCTTAGCCACTTGAGCCACAGGCGCCGAGCCTGACTTCTAGTTCTTTATGAACTACATGCCCTGTGTTTCTTCCAGTCTGTTGCTTATGATTAAGAAAAAGCAGCAAGGTAATTTTTTTAAAACATAAACTATTCCTTTATTCTCAAGGTTTCATCATATTCAAATAAAGTCCAAAACCCTTACCTGCCTATGAAAATTTTTCTGACCTCGCTCTCACTCCAATCTCATTTTCTTTCTTTCTTTCTTTTTTTTTTTTTTTTGAGACAGAGTCTCACTATGTTATCCTGGGTAGAGTACACTGGCATCACAGCTCACAGCAACCTCCAACTCCTGGGCTTAAGCGATTCTCTTGCCTCAGCTTCCCAAGTAGCTGGGACTACAGGTGCCTCCAAAATGCCTGGATATTTTTTCTTGTTGTTGTTGCAGTTGTCACTGTTGTTTAGCAGGCCTGGGCGGGCTCAAATCCGCCAGCCTCAGTGTATGCGGCTGGCGCCCTGCTGACTGAACTACGGCACTGAGCCTCCAATCTCATCTTCTGTCACTCTTTTCCTTGAAGTGCTCCCAGTGGCCTTCTGCTCAGGACACTTACCGTCCAGATTTCTGCACGACTCTCTTCCTTTATGTCTTAAAAGCTTCTTACTACCTGCTACTTTCTCAGACAGGCCTTCTCTGACCACCTCTTCTATTTAAAGCAGAATCCTTGTGTCCTCTCCCCCCACCAACTCTGCTTCATTTTTTCCCCCAAAGTTCTTAATATCCAACAGGATATAGAGTTGTTCCTTAGTATCTGTGGGAGATTGGTTCCAGGATACCATCTGGATATCAAAATCCTAGGACGTCTAAGTCCTTATATAAAATGTTGTAATATTCGCATATAACTTATTCACATTTTCCTGTATGTAAATGTTACGCAAATAGTTGTTATACTGTATTTTTATTTATATTTTTTATTGTTGTACTGTTATTTATTTTTTTGAGACAGAGTCTCACCTGGGTAGAGTGCCTCGGTGTCATAGCTCACAGCAGCTTCATCTCTTGGGCTTAAGGTTCTCTTGCCTCAACCTTCCAAGTAGCTGGGACTATAGGCACCTGCCACAATGCCGGGTTATTTTTGTTGTTGTTGCAGTTGTCATTGCTATTTTAGCTGGCCCAGGCCGGATTTGAACTCACCAGCCTCACTGTATATGACAGGTGCCTACCCACTAAGCTATGGGTACCACCTATACTGTTGTTTTTTATTAGGTTTTTAAAAATTAGTTTTGAACCGTGGTTGGTTGAATCCATGGATGCAGGACCAACCAACACAGAGGGCTGGCTATGTATTTGTCCATCTGCTCTCTACCTCTTTAAAACTATAAGTTACATAAAGGCAGAGCTTTTATCTGTTTTGATCAAAGAGTGAACCAAGTAAAAACTAAATAAATAGGCTCAGCGCCTATAGCTCAACTGGCTAAGGCGCCAGCCACGTACACATAAGGTGGTGGGTTCGAATCCCCAGCCCGGACCCGCCAAACAACAATGACGGCTGCAACCAAAAAATAGCCGGGCGTTGTGGCGGGCGCCTGTGGTCCCAGCTACTTGGGAGGCGGAGGCAGGAGACTCGCTTGAGCCCAGGAGTTGGAGGTTGCTGTGAGCTGTAATGCCACGGCACTCTACCCAGGGGGATAGCTTGAGGCTCTGTCTCAAAAAAAAAAAAAAAAAACTAAATAAATATTTACTAAAAGATGAATGAACAAAATCAACATTAAGTGACTTCAAGAATGAAGTATAGTGACTTACCAATACACTGATTTTGCATAAAACTCAATATTATCAGAAAATTCTCCAATCTCATCTTTGGCAATACTCTCTAACCAATCTACCACCAGCTAGAAAAAAAAAAAAAATTAGTATTAACTACAAAACCTGTTAGTGTTTTATTTGCAGCAGTACTCATACCCTTAGTACAAATAGTTTCTAATATCAAAAATATCAAGTAACAATTTTCCAAGCACTATTTTTATTTTTAAGATATTAAAAAGTAAGTATTATGGCAAAAGAATAAAATTTTCTGTAGGAATAACAGAGTTCTAAATAGGCTATGCCTAGAAATGCTAGGGCTGTCACTTAACACAGTAACTGCCCTGTGAGCCGTATTTCACTGGCTCTTGTTTTGAGCCCAGGGGCTTGTGAAACATATAACTCACACATCTCCTGATCTACCTTAATCTAATAAACACCATGCTCCCCCCAAGTTTTTTGCAGTGTGATAGTCAATGTGTTAAAAATAAAAAAAAACAAGGTTCCTAATTCATTTGAATTACAAATAAAAAGATCAAGTAGAAAGAGAATTAAGAAAAACGTTTTAAATTAAAAACACTTCAGTACTTTGTATGTCATGACCTTTCTCCACAGTTCATTAAAAAATATTTTTAAAAATCTAGCCATACCTGACTTTGCCGCACAAGTGAATCTCTCTGAAATAACGCTTCCACAACTGTTTTTTCACTGGCATTAAGAGCCTATTATAAAAATTATTTAAAGGGTGGAAAGAAAAGAAGATGCTCTAAGAATATTACTTCAACAAAAAGATAAAAGCCAATAAAAGTAAGTACATGAAATCACCCATACGTAAACATTTTACATCATAGTAAATTATATATTCATCTTTGAAAAACGTTCATTGTATAAACAAATTTCAAACTGCCAGATCAATTTGCAGCTGCTTTTACCTCATATTTTAATCCTTTACATTTGGAATTTTAAAAGTCTACTTCCCCAGAGATGATGTTTCAGGGAAAAACAGACACCAATAAAATGGAACAAAACACTGTGATAAAGGACTCGGTGTAGCCAGGACACATATATCTAAAACTTCAAAATCCTTTCATCCTACACAGAAGTTGATAATAAAACCCAAAAGCAATCTAAGACTTAAGACTTACTTTAAAAGGCAATTTAACATAAATAATAGCAAGTAACACTAAGCAGTATATTGAAAAGCTAGTAAGTTGTGACAACTTCATGTATGGGTTAAACTATTAACAAATCCACTTTATTCATGAGTTAAAGAAGAAAAGTTACATGAACTTTTTGGTAGATGCCAAAATGTCATCTGATAGATACAGAGGAATACTTCACTGATGTCAACAGATTATCTAACTGAAACCTGGAGCAAATAATACACAGTCATGAGGCGTCTACAGGGGATTGGTCCGAGAATCCCGTGGGGACACCAACATCTGCAGATGCTCAAGTATCTCATGTAAAATGTCATAGTACATTTTAAATCATTTCTAGATTACTTATAATACCCAATACAATATAAATTCTATGTAAATAGTTACACTATATTGTTTGGAGAATAATGACAAAAGAAAGTTTGGGCTCGGTGCCTGTAGTATTGAAGCCTAATTTAAAACCAAACCCTAAGCTCTTTTAAAGAACAATAAACCATATTTTACATGCAAAAAAAACACACAAAAAAACCAACAAGAATTACTTTTCAACTCAGAAACTAAAAAGTAATTAAACCCCAAAAGGCATCTGGTCTTGTTAGTTTTATAGCCATATTTTTTCACCAAGCCTTCAAAGAACAGGTAATCCCTATGTTCTTCAGAGTACAAAAAATAACAGAAGATCTCTAGAGAGCTAGCACAATTCTAGACACCAAAACCAGATGAAGATCCCATAAAAGGGAAATGTATCTGGGCAATTACTGACTAAGATACCAGCTAATAAATAGTAGCATATTTAGCAACACAGCACAGCTCAGAGTCTACCTTATTTGAGGATAACTTAATACTAAGAAAACAATTATAAGCCATTACATCAATAAATTATAGCAGAAACCTACAGAAGCTAAATAAATTTTAACTATTTTTTTAAATTAAATCATAGCTGTGTACATTAATGCAATCATGGGGTACAGTGTGCTGGTTTTATAAACAATTTGAAATACTTTCATCAAATTGGTTAACATAGCCTTCATGGCATCCTCTTAGTTACTGTGTTAAGACATTTATATTCTTTTTTTTTTTTTTTTTGAGACGGAGCCTCAAGCTGTCCCCCTGGGTAGAGTGCCATGGCATCACACTCACAGCAACCTCCACCTCCTGGGCTCAAGCGAGTCTCCTGCCTCAGCCTCCCAAGTAGCTGGGACCACAGG